GATCGTAGACGTACAGGCCATCACCAAGCACTTCATGCTTCTTATTCTGAAAGAAGGCGATCGTTTGATCAGCAGAACTATTTTGTTTGTCACATCACGAGATATTTGTTTTCATTCGCTTCGATATTTCGCTATGAAAGAGAAGGAAATATCCCTCAAACAATATGATCGTGATTTATTCTTGACTAATCCCTTAAAGGCAGTGGGCCCGCCGGCTGAGACGCAGAACGGTTTTGAATACGACCGTCATTGGCGGAAGGGCGCTAAGGTTGCGCTTACCAGGAAGGTCTTTCAGGGCGTGCCAAGCTTTTTGAAAACGGTCTTTTGCATGGGGCACATGCGGGAACCACAGAACCATGTTTAATTTTTCCTGAACGGCCCTCTGAATACCAGAAAAGGGGTCCCTAGTTCGATTCCTCGTGGTGACAAATTTTTGCATTTCGAGTTGACGTTCCAAAATTCGCGCAAAATGGAGTTAGCATGAATAATTAGTACCATATTCATGATTAGGACCGTCAGTAACCCTTAAAATAGACTTTGATTAAAAAACTGGTGAAAAAGGTGTGACACCACAGTGGGGCTGCTTGGTGTCACACCTCTTACACCAATTTTTAAGTCAAAGTCTTTTTGTAAGGGTTACTGACGGTCCTAATCATGAATATGGTACTAATTATTCATGCTAACTCCATTTTGCGCGAATTTTGGAACGTCAACTCGAAATGCAAAAATTTGTCACCACGAGGAATCGAACTAGGGACCCCTTTTCTGGTATTCAGAGGGCCGTTCAGGAAAAATTAACCATGGTTCTGTGGTTCCCGCATGTGCCCCTATATCATGCAAAAGACCGTTTTCAAAAAGCTTGGCACGCCCTGAAAGACCTTCCTGGTTAGAATCACTTCACGCTATTTCAGCGCCCAATGTCGCCCCGAAACCGCTCCGCCTGTCGGCTATCACGCCCACTGCCTTGATGTTCCTGGTCTAAGCAGTCTCAGTCGTACTTGTTCCCCACTTCCATGCCGATTTCCTGCTCGTCCATATTGATTTTTTTCAGAATATGCGATCCCTGGTACTACTCGCTGTCCTGGCTGCATGCTACCTGTCCGTTTCGGCCAAAATGCAAAACGTGACCGTCAAGGGTATCACTGTATGCAATAAGAAGCGCTTGGCCAATGTTCATGTCGAGCTTTACGATAAGGACACATGTAAGTGAAGCACACGGCATTCTTCCCGAAACGTGTAGTTAGCATTACACATTTATATCACAAATTTAATTACAAATCAATATATAGTAGAATTCTAACTGGGCTAAATTACGCTTTGAATGGTTTCAATGAAATCTTGATGTTTTCTAGTGGACCCCAACGATCTTCTGTCAGAGACGCACACAAACTCTGAAGGCGAGTTCGAACTTTTTGGACAGGAAGACGAGGTAAGTGATGGGCAATTCATTCATCCCAACTATTTTTTATTTCGGAACAAATCTATTCAGGTGGGCAGCATCGAGCCATTCATCCGTCTCACGCACAACTGTCAAGTTTCGAAACCAGTAAGTTCCAACGAATTCACAATGTTTATGGGCTATTTTTTACCAGGTTCAGCGATTGGGAAGAGTTTGATAGAGGATGCAGTTTGAATACTTCTTGAAATCTCACTGGAGTCATAAAAACTGTTCACGGTTTGTGAAGATGCGTGCGTTCTCTCCTCATGGCTTCATCTAAGCCAGTATGTGTGCAAATTAGCATTAGCACTTACCGTAATTTAGCATACCTTGATTGAGGGCAATTGTGAGGACAGCTCAGCGGTTCGTAGATTAGGATTCTGGTGAAGCTGCGTACAACGGAGGAGCATTTAAAAACACAGCTGAAGGGACCACTCCACCCAAGATCGCGACGCTGGATGATGCCTGAATGACTACGTGGAACCGTAAACCTTGGGTTAGTCACCGCCGCGGTCGGGTGTCACGACACATAAGCCGATTCCTTACCGCACAGTTTTCTCGGTGGCGGAAAGCGCCGTACCAAGGAAAATTTTGACCGTGGCCCGTTGTTTCAGGGCTGTGTTATTCTTCAGGTTGCACCCTCTTTCATGCTCCCGTTAAAGGCAAGATTCGGGATAAAATAGGTGTGGAAAAGCGTTCAGTTATGAAGCTAGAGGTGGGAGGTGGTCTGTAAAAGAGAAGGAAAGCAAACGAAACCACCGATTACGCCCCGTACAGAGACCTCCCCTATTTCAGCCACATTCCACCTTGGGATAGAGAAGAGGCGCGTTGGACGAGTTTCACGAACCTAACTCTACTTGCTCCAGTGCCAATGACATTGGATCGCAATGGGACCGCTGCCTCAAATGCGCCCGCGCTTTTCACAGCGAAGGGTGGGGCTTGCGGACGAAGGTGTGAGTTGCGGGTCGGACGAGCTCCTTGCGCCTTTGTCGCGCACTTTCAAGCCGCAAAAGGGGCCCGACATGGGGGGGGGGGGTCCTGTCTTTTCGAAGTGTCAGACTGCGACCAATGGATGACCAATTCGTACGGCTAATCGCTGGCGCATCGCTCCTGCACCTATAACCGCCTGCGAATCGCGCGATGCGTAAGCGAATTTCTTGCAAAGTCTGACACCTGCTTGAAGTCCACAATGCGACGAGCAATTATTTTCTATCCAGAAGCATCGTAAAGGGTGAAGGTTGGCAACAACCCTTCTTCGTAATATTACAACTCTCTGGCGGGCTCAAATGTCGCTCTACAACAGAAACCTTACTCGAACTACTTATTGCAGGGTTGCATGCGCATCGGTGACTATATTGTGCCACACGATAAGATTGGTGGCCTGTACGACATGACCTACGTGACGCTCGACATCGTCGTCCAAGGCGAGAAGGAAAAGTGCTAGGATCGCATACCGCCACTGCCATCTTTTATCCATGTGTTTATTGTTTTCATAAGCATATTTGACTATCAAATAAGTTCCTGTGCTGAAATAATACCTTGTGTGACTGTTTTTCTTCCAATGAACAGAATTAGAGAAACGATATTCCATTTACACTTAAGTTTGTAAATACAGTGTCAAACAGACGGACAAGCTAAACAATTGGCTTGGTTTGCAGCTGGAATCTAATGTCCGTTGCCTTCGATCATCTTCAGAAATTTCACGACCCTTCCCGGAGAAAGTTCCTCACCACACGACCTCCTCAAGACCAAAATCGCATACTGAAGTACATGCTAGTTGCTCAGATCACTTCCTTACATGAACCACAATTTTGTTGTGCCGGTTTGTCGGCGTGTATGTCGTTCCGTTCGTTTGCAAAATGAAGTGAGTCATAAGGCAGCTAATGGAATTAGATAACACCCCCAATGGCTACTGAACACCTACTTAGCACACTCTCGGTCCATGGTGCTGCAGTGACAGCTAGAGAGCAGTGGAGGGAAGAAGGGCGAATGAGGAGAGGAGCTGAAAAACCATTCCCTCAAATAACTAAGGAACAACTGTGTTGAGAGTTACAGTCGATATCCGAAAGTTGGGGTGGGTGTGTCACCGGAAGTTAAGTGTTGCCAGCATGCTTTGCTGATATCCAGCGATGTATGTTGGAAGCAGCTTATCCACATAGTTTCTATCAAGTGCACGTCACTTCCGGTGACACGCCTACCCCAACTCACGGATATCGAGTATACATAGCGTTATGTGATGATTGTTATGATGCCTTCAAAATATAAAACACCGTTCCGTACATTCGCGTCAGCTCCAAAAAGTTTTGGTGCCACGGGTGGAAGGGGACACTGCAAAGGTGCAATGCTTGCACAGGGGAAGGGAGGTGTGGTTCAGTGTAGAATAGAATAGTAGTTTTGAGTATTGCAGTAATCAATACTTGAAAGACGGACCACCTGGATGTGGCACGCTGTACTGAAAACTTATATTCTAAGTTTTATTAGTAACAACCAGAGAATATTGAATGTGGAGAAGAGAGAATCCGGGTCTGGTCCTTTATTGAGGGTGGGGAGGAGAGCCGACCAGTCCTGATAGCGAGGAAAGGCAAAGTGGTTGGTCCATGCTGGGAGGTCGCCCTTATATAGTGCCTCGTAGATCAAATGCTCCTTGTGATCACCGATCTGCAGACCACCTACGGTATGATCTTCGATCAAGGGAGCCACATTCACCATTGTAATATGTCGTGATTAACACATTCACGCCGATGGCCGCCCATATGGGCTGCCAACAACATGCGCTCCTGGGACGATGGCAGCCCATATGGGCTGCCAACTGATAATCGCTTGCCAGGCGCTAGGAATGGACAGATAGGTGGGCAAACCTCGTAATCGAGTGTAAAATGCTTTTAAATTCCTTCACGGGGAAAGTGAATAAATGCTCTCTTTTCGTAACCACTATTTGTCGTTCTGATCGAAATCCTACTATATGTTTAGATAATCTTTACGCATTGGACATTGCAGAAATTATTTTGTGACATTCATGTTTTTGTTCATTTACAAAACAAAATCTGCGGTTATGTGGTGAGGCGGCGGCGCCCACAAAATCGCGTCCGTCCCACGCGACCGAAAAGTGGAAAAGGGGCGTCGTCGTGAATGTGTTAAATAACAATGTGATTCAACATCATCACTTTTCATTATATAAACCAGAAGTTTGGTGTGTCGGTTTGTTTGTGTGTTTGCACGTCTGTCTGTCCGTCCGCAAAATGGTCGACTAGAGGCGAAAGATATCGTGATTGTGATACCACTTTCCTACCAGTATAAGAACAACCATTCAGTAGGATCGAATTCATTTCGGGGGTTTGGCTGTAAAGCAAGAGCTAAGGATTAGGCCTGTGGGCAGTCACCGCGCGACGTCGTACACGCGGCTTGCCGCGTGCGGGAACCGCGCGACAAATTCGAAGAGGTTTTAGGCATTTACTGCTTCCCGCGCCTGTGTATTCGTCAGTTACTTTCCTTTGTTTCCTTTTACTTTCGTTTTAATTTTTCTCCCAATCCTTCTCGATTTTTTCTTTTCATTAAATTTGACTCAAGCGTTCGCGTTGACACTAGAGCGTTCATACTTACAAGTGTTATGTGAGGTGGTACCGGGACACTGTGGGTGAAAAGATGATAGAAACTAATAAGGGCTGTCAGGGCGCCTTGAACTCACAAGTCCCCATTCCGTTGAGCAGCTGACATTGACACTTGAGCGTTCATAATTACAAGTGTTATATGGGGTGGTACCTGGACATTGTAGGTGGGCGACAAAAATGATAGCAACTGATAGGGGCTGATAAGGTAGTCAGAAGAGAAGTCGGCAATTCCACTGCCATCTACGTTGGCAAAACTAGGCTCTGTTCATATTAGGGTGGGTCGTGGACATTCTATCGATATAATCAGCTTGGCTTGAGCAGACTCTTTGGCGAATGGTACATTCCATTCTTGATCTAATACCAAGAAGACCAGAACTCATTTAATGACCGCCAAAGCTTAGGATTTGCGAACACTGTGAATGAAGGATCAGCATTAGATGCTCACTTATGATAATGTTGCAATTTAATTGTGAGGCTAACACCATAACCCTATTCACCGCTAAATTTATCAAAATTCAGGAGAATGGCCGAGTGTTTACAGTGCTATGTGTAAGTATACCTAGAGTGCTTGCGGAATCTTAGGTCGTATGATACGCGCGATACCGGGCGGGCGCGGAGCAAAGCTGGTAACAAATAAACTAGTAACAGTTACTAGTAACAAAACAAAACAAAAGGAACAAATGCTCGAAAGATGATTGGCCTCGCTCTACAGGACGTTCCAGCGGTTGCTGGGGGACTAATCTGGCAATAGATTAAAAGAGAGGTTTATTGCAGAGGAGCAACGCTGACTGAATCACAATCCGTGATCATCGCTTGTCGAAGCAACAACGTAGCATGTTGGATCCCTTACTTTATCAAATCCTGATGCAAGACGAACCTCCATATCCTCAAGTATATTCAGAATACATCACACTTTTTTTGACAATGGTTGAAAGCCAATGCCTTGATTCAGTGCGGGTTCTGCTCAAAGCAACCCAATTTTGGATTCCGGTTTCAACATATTCCTTATGTAATGAAGTTTCCTGCTGTTTGGAGGGCATGATGTTGCACTGCAGGAGCGCAAGGGCCTTGTAAAGACCGCTGTGACCCCCACCACTCTTCCTTGTCAGCAGCATGCTGGTGTCTGCGCCCTCTAACCAGTTGTGCTCGCCTGACCAACTCTTCAATTTCGTTGCAATAAATACACCAGTTTCATCTTTAAGCATGCCAGTTTGAGCCGAAAAGACTTAGCAAAGAACAAGCGCGTGCGACGTCGCAT